AAAACACAATTATATATGTATATATATCACTAATTGTCTTTATTATTTGAAAATCATGATGGCATAATTTTACTATATTTCGTCAATAGTCAATAATTTTTTTATATTTCGCAACTTAAATATTGCATATATAAAGTAAGAGCCTTTATTAAACTCTAAAATATGTACCTTATACATATGATATTTATATACCTACACGTGATTTCTTGTTATGTTTATCACAGCTATTTCTGATGCAGAAAAACGGTTTATTTTGATTGTAAGTTACGCAGAAGCTCCATTCTGAAATACGGAAGCAAATGTTGCCTAAAAGTTTCAATGGAGATATTTAATAGTTACAAGAGCTTTCTAAATTATAATAATAATTGTATGACATCTGGATATTGTAACTTTGCGTATGATTATTTTATTCTGTGAAATATCTTTTATTATTAAATTATACAAAATTGCCTATATGCACAATTTACAAATCAAATATTTCACTCAAATCAATATTTGGAATATTTCATGAAACTACTAGTCCCTTTTAAATCCTAATCTCATTAATAAATGTGAATATTACCGGTATTACCACTATCACTGTTAAACGCACTTAGAATTAGTTACGATTGTATACCATTAACCCAGTTTCTGAACTAATCATCAAACGAGTCTCGTCGTGTACGAAGGAGGATATTACAAAGTGTGGAAAGTTTTCGGTCTTAGTACACTTGCACCTCTTTTATGTTAATGTAGGACAAGAACGCTAGCGTAACTATATAACACTGTTTGCTTATGTTTAATGGTAGTTAAGTTATTTGTGGTAATAAATGGATACCACGCAGAATGACGCAAGTACGCCGATAATGCGATACAACGCATATCCAATCCACTCTAATTTCATAATATTATATACAGTCCAATAATATTTTCCACTGCTGGCGAAATGCAGCGGGTGGTCTGCAAAAATCAAGTTTCACCATTTTTATGCTCCGAACTGGTGAAACGAAACGATTTATCGCATCCCCGGCACCGTGGTAATTATCCTGATAAACTCAGCACAAAGTTCTACCGTTTTACTCTTTTACTCATTTCCCATATCTGAGAAATGATATATTACATAATGTCAGGCGTACATTTTTACGACCACGCCTAAGGAAAATATCTATCGGTTGTAGATAAGAGTAATCGATAAATACATACAACGCGTGACGTTTCACCAATACTTGTTCTAATGCTCTCATTATTTTTCTTTCTACAAGGATACATACGTTCCCAGTCCTTGAGAGCAATAGTAGCTTGCTGTGAATCAAGTGAAAGATGTGTTTAATTGAAGCGAAAAACATTACATTAGTGATTCGACTCGAGCCGATACGACACATGAGACGCGTTCTTTTCTTGACGAGTACCAGTTTTACTGGATACCGTCGGAAATAAGATAGTGGAAGATGTCGACGGGTGACAAGACTAACCGGTGTAAACGATACTGCGCGTGTTGTCATCGTCGGTGTCGACTACCTCGTTGTCGAGGCCGTGGTATTGCTGCGTCTAGTTGCAGAAATTGACGCGATAAAATAAGATTTATTTAGTGCGGCGATAACAAATTTATAGAGCTCTAGTAATTCTAACCGAAACAACATTTAATCTCCATAAAATTAGTCGAATATTTTGGAATAATATAATTTATGTTAATATTTAGCGAACAAAACGAATATTTTATTCAAACTTTTATAAATATTTAATAACAGAGATCTATTTCACGAGCTACGGAGCAAGGCAGAAAAAAAAGAAGAAAGGGACGGGAAAAGAAGTTGGAAAGCACGATTATTAATTGTTATTCGCGATAATTTTAAAATATTAATATTTAAAATCGCTAAAAATACCGTTTGATTTCGATACGTCTTGCGAATCAATGTTTCTCCTTTGTTGCCATTACTCCACGCGTAACCTTCCGAATCGGTCTGACTCTCTGACAAAGGAAACATCGCGCCGCGGCTACGGACCCCATAACGCTCGAGCAGGAATTCAAAGACCAATTATCGCACTGCAGGTGCAATGCCGGGCGCGACGCGACGAAAAGTGAAAACGACTCGGCGATTCGTGTTTCGCGTAACGAGGATTAGCGATAACGCTGCGGGTCGCCACGTAACTCCCGACTATCGGCCGGAGAACAGAGAAAAAAAAGAGGACGTCCGCCTCTTGCATAAATCTGAATCGCAATTAAAGGAGCGGGAGAGCGTTTTTATAAACGACGCATTCCCGTTGACTTTGAATGCGAGCAAAAAAGGCGTTTATCGCCACTCAATTTCACATCAGGCTTAAGAATTGCCATGGCGCGCCGTGCGAAGCTGTGCGATTTCGAAACTCTCGTTATGCGACGAAGGTTATAAAATTTGCGCAATTAATGAAAATGTCGCGCAAGATACATCGTTTCGATGTCGACAATAAATATGAGATCACTGTCAGGGTTCGTTATTATCGTGAGGCGTATTCGTGGCGCCGCACCTCGTCATCTCAGCGCTGCCGGCGCTTGGGGAACATGATCGAGCACCGACGAACAGGCCAACACGCCCGTGGTGGCACCGCGGTAACCTTTTTTCTGACATTTCTGCCTCGTAGGTTGGTTTATTCGAAAGGTTAAACCGTTGCGCTCTCGAATATCTAACGCGGTCGCTGGAAGGAAAAAGAAAGTGCAGGGAGAAAGAGAGAAACGTCTGGTAACGGTTCTGGCGCTCTTCTGCGCCAGGTAATCTCCTCTTCCTGTCGAAGGTCGGGCGCAAGTCAAATGCCCGTTCGTCGAACCGTGTCGTGAGGTTCATCGGAACATCTTAGCTGGAGTGCGTATCGGGTAGTTGGTCGGTCGCTCGTGCGTTGCAGGTAGTCACCCAATCAGAGCGAGGAGGAAACAAAAGAAAGGTGAAAAGAGTTATCGCTCCGTGAGATCGAGCCGACATCCTGTATCCCAACTGGAAAACCGGGCAGAACCTTCGGCTCGGCGTGCAATAATTATCGGCCGATTGTTCGGACCTCGTTCGGACTCTCTTTTCTGCTCTCCTATACCGCGGTGGCGTTTTCTGTCGGCGCCATCAGTGCCCCACCATTCTCGCGTGCGAATCGTTTAAGATTTTCAATAGTCTCTCGCGTGCTCCGTGGCCCGAAAAATCATGGATCGATGAATAAAGAGGTACCGGGTCACAGAGCGCGCTTCGCGCATTATCATCGCTCCTCCGGTGGCTCGCGAAGCGTCCTATGTTCTGCTTTTCATACAATTACTCGCGCCGCGCGAAATCGTCCTTGCCCGACTTCTCGCCTTTCAAGAATGCGCTCGACGTCGCACACGTCGGAATTTAATAATGTATCCTCGCATACATCGATCGCGCTCAACGAGCGTGACTTTTCTACGTTCTCGCGAAAGCACCATATGGATTATATGGTTTGCGACCTTACTTTGCACATAAAAGAAGCATGATTCTCTCTTTCGCGAGACACTGGTCTCTCGGCGGATCGGCATACCGATCCCGCGCGAACTGATGGTTATATACACCTCGACAAGTAAATCTTATGCGTTCAGTATGCCGCCATCGTCGTCCGGGAGGTACCGAGAGAATTGCTCGTAACGCGTCTCTGTGTCATTTAAGAGTCGCGGTGCACGTAATTCAGGGAAAGTCACACGCTCGTAAATCAGCCTGGATATGGGTACCGTTAGATTTGCAATGATAATCTCATGGTAATGTATGCGATTCGCTCGAGCGAACGAACGAGAAAATAATTAATAACCCCGGGTAATCCGAGTTCGCCGAACTGTCAGTGACGGATATCGCGATCCTTGGGGGTTTACGAGTTTGCGACACCAGTCCACCAGTGGGAGAGCTTACAAAAACTGGTGTCTCTTTCGTTCGGCATCTCGTTAGCCCTCTTCCTTCAATTTCCATACCGGTGATAGACAACGTTTTACAACTCTGCTTTATGAGAACGTGGATGTGGCTATTAAGTTTTCTAATGACATAATTCACGTCGCGATGGCGCTCTTACGGTTATAAATGTTCTATGTTCTATATCAGGATTTTATACGGCTTGGATAACATGAAGCGCAAATGGTTTGTAAACTAGTTGTGTAAAAGAAATTATACTACAAGTATGTGATTCGAACACATAAAATACTTTGTGCATTAAACATACATGCATTAACATTCGTATTGCTCTCTCTGATATGATGCTTCATCGTACCGTTCTGTTAATTATATGTTTTGTTCTCATTCGAAAAAAAAAACAGTAATTACGGAAAATTATATGGAACCTATTTATGTCAAGGGAGCGAGATGAGCCAACAAGTTACAAATTATGTTGGCGCGACGAATGATTTCAGATTGTGCGTGGTTGTTGATTGATACGCGTAAGAAACGCTCTACGGATTTTCAAGATCGGTTGCGCGGCGCTTCGGATTTCCGGACGATCTATCGAGCCTCACACAAGCCATACCGAGAGTAAGGTGTACTTACAGTTACCTCTAATTCAATTGATCGATCGTGGGATAAGCGAGATGGCGGGACATCGCGGGCACATGGATTATAATGATGATACTGTATCTGACAACGGAGGCGGCTATTTACCATTCAATTACATTGCAATTACGGGATCACGTGTGCCCGTATCTTAAATTACGCGATGCCATTTCAGCAACAAAAGCTTTAACCTGCTCGAGACCTTTAATAATAATTGATAATCACGGAATGAGCGGCATGGAAAAAAAAATCATGGGCTCGTGTCTCCAAAGACTAACAAGTTCTGATAGTAAAAATAAATCCTGATGGTACCATTAATGGTGATCGTTATCATTAATGGTCTCGAGAAATTAAAATAACGAGAAGTTTGGTTTACCGTTATGCACAACCGCGCGACTGCTTGTAATTGGTTAACTGGTGATAAATGATAGTTGATCAATAATGGGAAATGTGGCATGTAACTGATAGAAAGAACGATGTTGAGCGAATGTAGAAAAATTGTTATGCAATCAAACTTACCCTTGGTGAGAGTGCGGAGGTGCAGGTCTCGGTGGAGGCGGCAAAGACTTCCTACCGGATGTGTTTTGTCGCGGTGCCAAAGGCGGTGGCGGCGAACTAGGAGAATCCGTGCCGTACTTCTCCGTTGGACATTGAGGCTGAGGTTTCTGCTTAGGTATATCAACGTACTTTGGTGGTAGTGCGTAGTAACCGTGCGTAGTCCTCTGTGTCACGTCGTTAGGACGTTGGTGATGATTAGGAACGTATTTCGGGGGTTCGTGATATTTCTGCGGGCTTGACTCCGAGGGGAACAGCTTCGAACTGGCTTCGTATCCCGTTTTCACCGGGCTGCTAATGGAGAAACTGTGATTTCCGCTCTTCAGGTATTTGGATGGACTCTTCGCGACCTCTGTCACTGGCAGATAGTTCGGTCTCGAGGATGGATTCGTGGTGGCATTCTTATCCGCGTTTTTAGGCACTTGAGGCTGCGGTCTCTGACCTGAAGAAGATTCTAATTTCTGGCCGGAATCGTTTCGCAACAAACCGGACGCGTCGACGCGCGTCCCGTCAACTCGCATCGATTCCTGCCGAATGATCCTCGGCTCTACCGGAACTTGCGGGGCGGGTCTCTGGTTCCCGGAATCGCTGTATCTTTGCGATATGAGATCGGGGAGTTGCGCCGGAGGTCTGGTTGAATAAGATCTCTCCTCGGATATTCTCCTCGTCGGCGCTATCTTCCCGTTCACCATAAGTTTCTGAGTGGAAGGATATCTCAAACTCGAGCGTCCCGTAACTACCATCCTGTGCGTGGCAAAGCCGGCCGAGACTCCGTTCTCCAGTACCATTTCGGAATCCACGTGTTTCAGCGCCGCGGATCTCACGAATTGATGCTGTTCCTGTTCCTGCACGCCCGTTTTCGTCGAATTCGGGGAGGATTTGCCAGTGGGCTTATCGTGATCTCTCTTGGCGCTGTGTTTCGATCTTTTTATAGAATGTCTTTCCGACTTGTGTCGTTCGCATGACCTTTCACGATTGATCTTTGCCGTTTCCTCCGTCTGGTGGTGAATGTTGTTAGATTTACGCTCCGTGAAACAATCGTCGCTGAGTTCGGGTGGTGGGGGCGGCAATGGATCGTCGCAATCGTGGACCTCGCTCTCCGTGACCGTCGGCGGCGACGGTGGCGGCAAGTCGGGACTGGGTATGCGTTCGTTGTAAGCATTTCTCAGATGTGGCTTTTTAGGCGGCCTCTCGGGCACCCAGTCGTCTATCGATATGGCCGGTCCGACTATCACAGGGCCCAATAAATCCGTGGAGAGACTGCTGCAACTGTTGCTATGTTGATGCTTAGGGCTTGGCAAGTCGTTGTTTCCTTGATTCTGAGTTCTGCTAACGTTTTCCCTCCAAGCACCGCTGGCGTAATCTGACGCTGAACTAGCTCTTCGGGATGAGGATGGTCTCGGTCGAGGGGGAGGCTGCGGCGGTGGACTTTGAGGACTCTGAGGAGCTGGTGCAGGGCCTTGTGCCAACTGGGGTTCCGATCGCCAAGATGCTTGATGATGTCTCTCGTAATAAGACAACAACGCTTTCTTTTGAATCGCTTTCAGAGTAGGATCGGACACCCTGTGACGTTTCTCGGGATCCAAATAAGTGTAACGCATTTGTTGCTGCTGTTGCTGCTTTTCTAATTCATTGATGCGTTCAGCTACCGAAAGCTGTGGTTGTGGCGGTGAACTTAAGGTCATTCTGGAAAAAGAAATGTTATACATGATGTTGTAGTTAATAATTCGAATTATTACATAGAAGTATAATAATTGTAGAAAAATATATTTATCAATATACCTTGAAGATTGCGTGGATTCCTGCGGCTGCGTTGTACTGACTGGATAAAGTTTTCGTTTGCTACGTTCGCGATCCAAGTACAGCACGCTTTCCGAATGATGCCGTTGAGGAGTCTGCACCCTAGCGCTGTGAGCGATTAGCTGCTTGCTACATTGAATTCCGTTAGTTTGACTCACGTCGGACATCGACCCGTGTATAGGATTCCAATTTTCGGAACTCTGCGGACTCGCCGCTCCAACTTGCTGGCGTGTAGGGCTTTGTGGCATAGGTTGAGTGTATTTATCATTCTCGAGTCTGCTCGAATTGTCCCACTGATTCGCTGGTGATCTATCATTCAGCGAATCATCGTCGAGATTGGATTCCTGCCACTTGCTGTCTCGAATCGCCGATGTTTGGCAGATATCACTAATCGATGCGGACGTCGTGCAGTGACCGATCACCGCTGGCAAGCTGGGTCTGCCTTGTCCCTGCTTGTTTCGGTCGTTCATCGAAGACTGCCATTTGTCGAGGCTGTGCCTCCCTTTCGCCGGCGTGCCTATTCCAGACGTACTGACGTCGCTCATGGAACTCTGCCATTTCTCGTGACAACCGTTGTTGGGTTTTTGAGTTAGAATCCCTCCGTTTACGCTACTAACGTCTGACATAGATCCATGATGCCATCGATCCGATACCGCTTGACGAGGAGGCATACCGCTTGATACGCTGACATCCGACATCGAGCCATGCCATTTTAAAGTCTCACTGCTAGAGGCGCTACCACTAGACGTAGTCACTACGCTGTCTCTACCCTCTCGCGAGGTATCTTCCCAAGACGTCGCAGGCCTTTGTGCTACCGCCTCGCTGTCTCTCCTCAATCTGATAAAAGGAGCAATCTCTCATTACAAAGACATCGCGTGGTGTTGACGATGTTAATAAGACGATGTGTAAAGACAATCTTACCTGTCGAGAAACGGCGTGTTCGTCGTAGAATCCACGCTGGATACATAACTGTGATATCCTTCAGATTGCGCGTAGCTCGCCTGTTGAGAATGTTGCACTCTCGTATATTCCTCAAGACCCGCTTGTGTCAAGGTGGTTTCGCGATAGAGGTCCACCTAAATAAATAAATTCAAAATCAAATCAAACAGCAAAAAGAAATAATATCCGCAGTCGTTAAGCATTATGTGTTTTTTTGCGTTGCATTCTTGGAATATTTATTCGGCTTGAGATGTTATTCGCTTAAATTCTCTTACCTGGGGCACTTGAGGGTCTTGGTAGCCTCTTACATAAGCCTCCAGATCAACGTGACTCAAAGTCTGAGACTGCTGTTCCCGTTCCGGTGGCGATGGTACCACGTATTCCGCATCTCCCAAAGCTTTACCTTCGCGATCCACGCGCGGCCACAATCTCGGCTCCTCTTCAACGCTACTTCTGTTGCGTGACTCGTAAGTCTCGGCTGGGATCTTCTCGCAACGCTCCATTACCGTCTTCAACTGCAATATTCAATTTTTGCAGTGTAATAGAAAATCATAAATGTACTTGGAAAGTGGCACTTGCCAAAGTAATTTTTATTTCGGAGTTCACATTCGTAATGTGAATAAAATTGAAAATGAAACGATTAATAAAGTACATCTTATATAAATTCTCGCGTTTAAAAATCGAGGTTTATTAAAAAAATATATATATACCAGTTATGCGCTTAACGATTAGCTTTCAGCCGAGGTATACTACCATTCACGATCTTATATATGTATGTATAATTCGCACTCGCGTTTCCTCGACGAGAGAAATAATAAAAAGGTCTCGATCTTAAAATACATCAGCAGGGAGCTAATTGCGTGCGTTCTGAAATAGAAATTGCGCCAGTCTAATAAAACTTCACGGTCAACGAAAAAAAAAGGGAACTTGGACTAACTTTAGCATCCTCCTCTGTTTTTTTAGCCCGCTGTCTTCTCCTCGCCTGACCGGGAGCTGCTGGTACGTACCGAAATTTACGGCGTGATGCGGGTCGGACCATCGAAATACCACGGCCTACTTCTGAGAAAGCCAGTAGCACGCCGACGATTATGTCACCGAGAGAAAGGAGGGTGCGGGTGTGGGAGATTAATTGCGTACGCCGTTTTAGGGCGCAGCACGATATATACACCAAGGTCTTGCCCCGAGGTGATCCCGATTCTTAATACGGCATGCTCGCCCGGATAAGCCCCCTTAATTATTAAACACGTAGATGGTGTCGACGTGAAACTTTGTAAATCGTTTGAAAGCATGAGGAAAGTGTTCCGATAAGCTCCGTTGCCTCGTGACTTGTTTATACCGCCGAGGTACTTTGGTGTCATGTAAACGAGACTCGATTTTGCAATCGGCAAGACAATCGAGAACGGCTGACACAGCGAATTCTGAGCTACGGCAGGAAGGATTTCTATAGAAGACTCGGACTGATGCAAATCGCGCGAATGGCAGAAGTTAAAAATATCTTATAAATGTAATTTAATCGCTAAAAGTTATAACAAGATCATTTCATTTATCCATCCGTATAATTATACGTTATTAGCGTAATGTAATATCCGTTCCTATTAATCGTCGCGATTAATTATTGTAAAATTTATTCTCTTTATAGTGCGTAGCAAATGAGTATTAACATTTAATAGTAAAGTCTACAAAAGTAACAGGAATTGAAATCGCGTGTGCTTGCGTGCAATATCTTTTATGTATCCAATTAATAGTAAATCACGGCATTACGTTGCCATGCAAATGTACGGTCCACGTTCAGATTGTATAAGCGACGCGGCGTAACGACTGTTTTGCGGAAAATGAAGAGGGCTTTACAAGCTTACCTGCTGCGTGAACGCGGGATTGGGCCTCTTCGTGTGTGGTCTGGTGTACTGGGCTGGCTTCTCCTTCGGATAGTTGGTGTGATCGGTCCAGGACTTGGAGCGATGAGAGCCGCTGTGCCCGGAGCTATGGATATCCTCGTCGGAGTGTCGCTCGGGTGCGCTCGGCCACGAAGGATACTTCTCGTGCCCGGGGCCGTAACAGACGCCCTTGAGGCTGGAGGCATCCCTAACTGGCGGCGTCGGTGGTGGCGAAGCTTCGTCTCTCTCATTAAGAGGGAGCGTGAATCCAAGGGACTCCAAGATCCTCCTAATGGGACAAACGGATATGGGAAACGTCGCGGTTAAAGTGGCCAGTGCACATTACGCTCCGCGACAGCCGGAGAGAGAGAGAGCAGAAATAGCACGCGTGACGCAACGTCCTCCCTACGTGGAAACAATTATGCGCGAACGCAAAATCGTCTGTTTATTAGCGCCTCGCCCAATGAATCACTCGTAATACGGCACTCTCGACTGCGGTGCTTCTGCGCGCGATGTCATTGAACCACTTTATTACCAGGCGTGTGCAGACTGCATAATTTATGGTACTGTCGACGAGTTCGGCGTAACTTATACGGTAATCGCGGCATTTCTCTGATGTTGCGCGTTCCGCGGTTATTATCTTCTCGACAATATACCGTTCGCTTTGAAAAAAACTAAGATCCTTCTAGTTGATTATACACTGACACGTTCGCATCAAATAAATCTTTTGTAAAAGACGGAAGTCTTATCCTTATCCTATTATCCTAAGTAATCTTATTATTACAGTACTCAAATTAAATGATTTTATATCAATAATCTGTTTTATACGGTTGCTAGATAATCATTGCTCGATAATTCGCGTCGGGCAGGATCGAGAAAGAGAGAAAACAGAAAAAGTAGCAGGAGAAGAACGTTGCGTGAACGAACGTCGAGAGAAAAAAAAGCGCTCACGTAATCGCGAGCACGTACCCGCAGTCGTTTTTATAGCCCGGAGTATTCTTCTTGTGACCATCGTTGTAACCGGTAACCGCGGCGGCCTTCTTACCGCCGTTGCCACCCTCGTGATCGTTCTCCGTGCCGGACCTCCGTCCGTCGTTTCTGCGACGGTAATATTCGTTAGGAGCCACCGACCGAGGCGGACTCTGCTTAAGGCCATAGCCTTCCTGAGAATACGACGTGGCACTCTTGAAATTGGCAGCCTCGCTCCCGTGGCCGTGGCTCGCGTACTTGTAGGACCCCGGGGGACAGGAAGGTGGGCCTGGGGCCTCATCCTGGACGCGATATCCTGGCGGCGACGGTTGCAACTCCGTCATCGTGTAACCGACGTCCCCGCCATCCGGGATACACCTAAGTGGGCAGAAAATTAAAATCGTGAGCTTCGACGTCCCCTTGAGATAAAATCTCGCGATTAGACGGTCGCATAGAGTAGATTAAGCGATTACGCGTCGCGTAAGTGTAACAGAATCGGGCGCAGCGTTTTCACATATTTATGAGGTAGCACGCGTGCATGCAAATTAAATGTTACGTGAACATTTTATCAATCCAACGATTTAATCTCCCGTGTTACTAATAAATCATAATGCTGCGCGCAACGATTCCTCCTTTTTCATTTTGAACTTTATCTGGATATTGACGCATCTAGATTTCGAGATAAGAACACAGAAAAATTATGTTTATACCTCTGCACAAAATGTAAATGTAATGTGATTAGCGTACGGCAGACATATTTCTCGCCAGCTAATTGAGCTCATGGAAATTATACCGGTTTCAACCCTTGCTTTCCACGCTCGGGACTCAACGTGAATTTTTCGACATTATGTGATACATCATCGTGAATGTTTCTTTAGCAGCGTAAACGATCGCGATTAACGTAGATGTACGAGCAACGTCGTACGACTAATCTCACTTTGTTCGCAGGAAAATTTACATTATCTGGTAATAGGTGCGAGATTGTAGGGGCTTAATGCTATCGGTTATAAAATAAAATCCGAGGAAAACGTCTTACGACTGATAGTTATTTAATCTTTGGGCGAATTTAGAGACACGTGTACGTGGCATTTAACTCTCGGGCGACAGAGGAGTAATGAGTCGCGTTAATAGAGGCACACTCCGGATGATTGATGAGACTGATAGATAACGCTATTTCCGAGTCAGGGGTCTCCGGAGCGCGTGAATGATGACAGCTTTTAACGAGGAACACGGATGCCAAAAAGTAAAATAGAAATCGCATATCTGCAACACGGAAGATATCACCAGGTAGGAATACGTTTAACTTTTCACCGAGCAGGTTTTTATCTGTTCTGCAATTAATTTAAATCGTCGTCGATTAATCATAAATTACGCGCGGAAAGCACTTTGGCTCATTTAAATGAATTATAAAACGCCTGTGAATATCTCTTCCCGGAACGATTGCAATAACGCTTTTAAGTTAACGTTAAAAGGGATGGGTGGCCAATATTTAAATTGTCAAAAATAATGAATCCTTTTCTCGCCAGCAATTAACGAAACCACCGCAGTGCCATCCGTTAATTCGAAATCAGATTGCTCAACGAGGATTACTGATCAAGTCAAGCATTTTGAGATCGAAGAGTCACAAGTGTTTACGTACTGCACCATATTCTCTAGGACATGATTAATTCCATTTTCAGGTCAAATATTAACAATGTTGTTTCGTCTCGATCAAAACGTTTCCGCATCGTTTTCCCATAGTATCTTGCGTCACGTGGGATACAAGAAGCAGAGGAAAAAATCTGCCAGCGGCGAGCGAGAAGACCATCTCCGAGAATGCTAATGGTTAGGTTAGGTTTTCGTGATTTACGTGCGACGAAACGTCCTGAAATCGACTGCCCCCCGAGGCAGTAGGCACCGCGCGGGCATTGCCGATTTTTACCCACGCGACCTACGAAAGTTTCCGACTTCGCTCAGCGATGATTCCTAATTGCAAGAGAAGTCTCAACGGCACGCAACGCGTATACCCGGAGCCACTCTCATCACGAACGCTAGGACCTAGGACGCCCGCACGCCGGCATGTTGGCGATCGTTAAATACTGGAGCGCGGAGCGGTTTCGTAATAAGCGAAAGTACACCATGGTACGCGAATAATAATCGATATTTCTTAAAATATCTGGCAGGTGGTTGTTAATAAGCCGGGCCGTGAAGTATCGAAATTACGATCGCTCCGACTACAATAGCGCGCAAGTAGCGGATTTATTATGCACCGGTCGTCGCGCGCGGCCGCCGCAATCAGGTTAGGTTAGCACAATAAAATAATAAACCATAGACGGTTGTAATTCTTGCGCGTAATTCTGTGACTCGTATACATGACCGTATCTCAAAATAGCCCACAAAACACGATATCCGCCTTGTAATGTACACGTAACAGCCTGATTAGCGAAATCTGTTTTCCCACTAATCAATTGAACGTGAAGCTATCAATAGCCGCATATTAGGAATTCGACAACTAGCTAGCGTGCGTTAAATTGGGTTTTGTAACGGTGGGCGTGTCGACTGTCGGCGTCGCGGTTTCTCATTTCGCATAATGAGAAACGAGAGAGACGAAACAAATGCATGAGAGAAAATCGCGAAGGCACCCTGATCGACACCCTAATGACGCGCGATGTGAATACCACTATTCCAATATTTTCTCGATTCGGAGAGTCCATTTCTCGTATCTCGATTCGCGCGGAACACGTTCCTCTCGCACGAATTGTAGGCTAGTGTGCCACGCTCGACATATTGGATTTCATAACGAAATGAATCGCGATAGAGACTTCCGCGATAGGAAGCCGCGCCGCGATTCAATTACCGCTTGGCGCTTCGTCGCCGTCGGAGCAAAGAGCTCATATACATATACCGCTTCCAACAACCATGCACGCCCACGTCGACTATCTCTCTCTTTTTCTTTACGTCTCGTAGTACGAGTTATCGGTTGCTGCTGGATGCGCGACTCCCGTATTATTCTTTTCGTGCACGCAACACCGGCGCAGCGTATAATTTCCGACATCGACTGCCAACGGGAATACGCCGCGTGAGTGATCATTACTGCAAATTGCAACAATGTGGCGAAGGAACGACTCGCCGATTTTGGTTATTCGGCAAATGCTTGCGGGCCGAAGGGAAAAGGGAGACAGAGGCAGAAGAACAAAAATCACGGCACGAATTGCAAGGATCATCGCGGATCGACGAGACGCGTCTTCAATCTACTTCAGTCCTTTAATTTTTGCGATCTGAACGCGTCGGTGGATATAAGTACGCCGACGCTCGTTTACGACGTTTACGTGCGTTCATTCACTGGCGCACTTACGTGTCATACGCGCCTGTTTTCCGCGGTCGTGAGGCGCATTCGCACGCGCGTCGCGCGGTTCGGAGAAGCAAACGGAACGGAGGAAGAACGGAGGAATAGACGACGAAAGGCGCATGCTAGCGCGTCGCTATCTCACGTCATGCGCGTATAAAAGTCGGAACAACGATGCAAAACCAAATACCAAAATGAGGGCATTGAGGGCTGTTGACGCGGCGTGCGGCGCGCGCGGCAACACGAGTGGTGGGGAGGGGAGGTAGGCTGATTACGCACATCGAACGCGCTCCGTGTCACCCTACCCCCCTTCCATTCCCACCTCTCGCGTTGACGCGGCGCCGCGTCTCCGCACTCATCTCCGCTCTCGCTGTTCTCAGAAATTTCGGATTTTCGGAATACAGCGCCGAATGATACATAAATTGCCGGGTCCGACGGTTTAGAAAAACTATGGTACATCGACATGTTCATTAAATACATGCGTTTCGAGGAATTCATACGGATACCGAGGTATGTCGCATTCGGTAATGTACATATTGACTTTCGATCGGTCTCGCTCTTCTCAACCGTCAACTTGACTCGCGTATCGATCGTTCCAGCTTCGGCTTCAGAATGAAGCTGCCGTCGTTTTCAGAATACGGATAAAGAATACGAGCGCCACGCTAAATCGAGCAACCAACGCCACGACCGACGTGTTTAATTGCACGATCAGAGAGTCTCTATTAACGTCATACGTTTAATCTCGTTTAATCGTGTTTTGGCGATCGTGGCGGATAGACACGTTATGTGAATATTCGCATAAATCGATGATTTAATTGCGTTTGATTCTATCTTCGTTATTTACTAAAAATTGAAACAAGGACAGAACGACGCTGGTGTGCACCCGAGTGAATAAGTTATCGAACGCAGCCCTGACCAAGCAGCAAGTAGCGTTCTCGCGACGGTTGCTCCTGTGGCGAGTGAAGTTGGCCGCGCGATTTACGAAATTCTCTCCGCCATGTTAGCGTCTACCTGCGGGACGACATCACGGGCCGATGGGCGTCGAGAGGATCGTACAGCTTCGATTGTAGCTTTTCCGACGTAATTCTTCCGTCGCCGTGTAAGAAAGTACGCGCCGCGTCGCGAGATTAATACCGGGAGTGCCGGGCAAAGTGACGCGCGATCATAAGCGACGATATCGTCGATTTTTGCTCGTGAATGAGTCGCGTCGCGTCGTGAGTGAGTGCGCCGAACGGAGATGCGACAACGAAGGAGGACCGAGCAGAGGAGGCGGGGGCCTGGGAGGCATCGGGCGACGGCGGAGCAACCGTGGGGTGAGTAATTCGTTTATTATTTTGCTGTCCTGTGGCGGATTCCGCCACTTTCGATGTTTAACTCCGGCTTCCGGCGCAATTTCGGAGTAACGGAGTCCGATCTCCGGCATACATGCGAGAAAGAGATATTACGTCGCGAACGTCGCGTCTCTCTCTTATTCGCACGGTCGCAATATCATACTTGCCACGATTTATCCGCGGATTTATTATGCGAACGAGTTAATGCGGAAATATGCGGCCGCTTGCGGCGGTCGCGATTATTTCTTGCATTATTTGCATTAACATTTTAAAATCAGATATTTGTTAAAATGTTTTAAAAATTTAACGGGCGCGATAATAATTATTTACTTGAAATTTTGATTATCTTGGACGCTGTTTTTAATGTAAAAATATTTCTGTGTTACAGATCAACGCAGGGTTGCAGCTTATAACTCCGCTGTTGCGCATCGGCCGGTGAGTGATTTTTTAATTTCAATATCAAGGCAATGGATTTGTAAAAATTATATTACAAACGTTAATAAAATGTACGTATAGGAGAAATGAGATGTTATAAAAGAGTCAAGAACAGTCTTTTTCTAATAATTATTAGACATATCAAAATTTTTATTTAAAATGATAATTAATGTAGCGGTAAAGTGGTCTGTATCTCATGAAATATCTGAATATATCATCAATTTCTAGTTATTATAAAAAAATTAAAACATTAAAGATTAAAAATATAAAAATATATTACAAATGAA